AAGCTCCTGACATCCTCTTACCCAGATTCAAAAGAAAGACAAAGACCAGCCCCCCCAAACAACCCTAGTCTACTAAATTGGAAGTGAATCGTCCTTCCGAGTAGGGAGGATTTGAGTTGAATAAGAAAGAATACATTTGTCGAATCCAACAATAAGAAGAAGTGAAAGATCAAAATAGGGTAAAGGCGCTAGAAGATGCAAAGAAAGACAACGGTCGAGATTCGGACCTTTTTTTCTTTGCTTTGAAAACCCAAACGCTCCGCGCCTAAAGTAAAGGGCTGGTCCACGTCTGGCGTAAGCGTCAGAATCAGAGAAAAAATATGTAACTGAACGAATCAAACAATTGCCAATAATATTGGAAACTTTCTTTTCTAGAGCCTGCAAAAAGGGAGAAAAAGAATAGCCGCTTATCTAATCTCGACGAAGACCTTATACCTATTTCCCTACCAAATAAGAAGAACTTAACCAACTTGAAGCTTAGCGCCCTCAACCCGGAAGCTTAGCTGGGTTTATCAACGCCGCTACCAGTGCCCAGCAGCCCTTGGGAGAGTCTTTGGATGGACTTCCTAGGGGATTACAGCAGTCAAAGCATGGACATGACTACCTGTTTGTGGTGGTTGACCGTTTCAGCAAGATGGTGTGCCTGGTTGAAATTGAAAAAAGTCACAGGTGAGGAAGCAGCCAAGTTGTTTTTTCAGCATGTTTGGACAAATTTCTTATTGCCTAAAATATTATAGACGATGGTGATGGTACATCTTCTTCGGGGCTAGAATTCCAAGCATCCACAAACTTGGGATGAGAGTTTGCCATCTCTCCAGTTTGCATTCAATCGGGCGATTCACAGTTCCACTCAGAAAGAACCTTTAGAGGTATGGGCTATTTACCGCGGAGTCCCTTTGACCTGTTTGGTGATGAGCCGGAAAGAAGAGGGGGAGGTCATAAGCGTCTATACCGTCAAATCTCTTTTCGACGGAATGAACATATCTGGTAGAATCGTAACCATAGAATACGACCCTAATCAAAATGCATACATTTGTATCAGACACTATGGGGATGGTGAGAAGAGATCTATTTGACATCCGGGCTATAATTGGAGATACCATTGTTTCTGGTACAGAAGTTCCTATATCAAGGGTAAATGCCCTACCTTTTAGTGCGGTTTGAACTCTTGATTGACGTAATCTCGATAGAAAGTCACGCGCAACTCCCTTCCTTACGCAACTATGGCGCACCGCTGCTTCCATTTCAATCCGTGCTGCTGGACCGATTCTTTCGTTATAGCTGCTTTTGTTCAAAGATGTCCTCTCAAGTGCTTCTTTCGTATGTAAAAACCTCTTTTCAGCTCAGTTCTGGCCTTCCCTCTCGACAGGGAACTTTGCTAGAGGCGCTAGTTTTCTCGTACTTGAACTGCTGTAGACAAGAACTGAAAGCCCTAGGGAAAAGCGTAGCATAGCGTAACGAAGCGCTTCTTCTTTCGGTTATGAAAGCGTATGTTTTCAGAGGAGATTGAATCAGTTGAGTTCTTCTAATTATCCCACTTGAACTAAAAAAAGCGTGTCTTTCCGGTTTAGGAAGATATAAAGTAGAATTCAAATAGAGAAACTTGAATGTGACTCTGAAATCTGAAAAAAAACAAACCAAGTGGCAGGAAGCAGCACACCAGGAGATTCGAACTCCTCAGGAATGGTTGAATTTTCCAGACAATTAGCAATCGCCTACACTTCACCAATAGCGGTTTGTCCTGATGTAACCTATAGAAAGAAATTTTCTCCTTCCATTTTTTTCAGAAGGTATAACTCAGTCGGTTAGAGTGCGAGACTTTTCATATCGAGGCCGTAGGTTCGAATCCTACTACCTTTCATTTCACTGAGAAATTGAAAACTAGGATGGGTTGAATCGAACAACCATTCTCATTACCAAAAAATGATGTCTTTCCTTTAGACGACATCCTATATATATATATTTCATTCTAGAAAAAGGTGCGACTGTAAGGAGCAATATATTCCTTTCTTACTATGCCTACTACTAGAATCGAACTAGTGCCAAGTCATTACAAGTTCCCTATTCTACCATTCAACTAAGTCGACAGATTTTTCTTTTCTGATCTTTAGGCGAATCGAACGCCTACTCACTCGGATGAAGACCGAGGGTTTTCCCATGAAACTAAAAGAACTCTCAAGAATTTTTTATAGATAGACTGAGTAAGAGAATCTACTTATCTGACTCGACTAAGTCAGACCTTAATAATAGATTACATTCCAGGATTCGAACACTGGTCTAGCAGGACATGAATCTGCTGTGCTACCTTTACACTCAAGTACTTTTCAAATTCAAATGAGATTTTATTGAGTTCAAATATCAACCATTCCTATACGGAAGGGGAAGAAAGTCAGTTATTCACTCTATAGATAGAAGTGTTGTAGTAGATACGTGAACAGTCTCAAGTACAATGTTAGGGAAGATACCGAAGATTACAGCTACGATAAGTAGTGGAAGGAGGAGCATAAATTCTCGTCGGCTTTGAGCTGTCATACCTCGGTAGTATCGAAGAGTTCGTGTGTGGTATCGATCATATAGTACACCTCCTACTAGGAGAAAGAGTGCAGGACTGACAACTCCATGTGCAAGACTGAGTAGTAGAGCTCCATCAATACCTTGAATTGTCTGACTAAAGAGTCCTAGAACAACAACAGCCATGTGACCAATACTTGACTACTAGAGCTTTCAAGTCTGTTTGTCGTAGTGTAGCTAGTGATGCATAAATTAGTGTAATTACAGCAATTGTTTGAACTAGTGGAGAGAAGTCTGATGTAGCATCTGGTAGGAATTGAATGAGAATTCGCATGTAACCGTATGTAGCTAGTTTGAGAATTAGACCAGCTAGAATGACACTTCCTGCTAGTGGAGCTTCAGCATGAGCTCGTGGTAGCCAAACATGAAATGGAAGTAGAGGTGTTTGAATTGCCAGACTAATAAAGACTGCTAGCCAGAGTCGTTTTTGTGATTCAAGATTCATTTCGGATAGAGAAACTACTTGGAAATCTGTTGAACCTACGTTGTAGTAAATTACTAGGAATGCCATGAGAAAGTCTTTCAGGGAATGTTTCACACGCCGGTCAATAGTTCTTTTCTTGCAAAAGAGAAGCACCAGGGCTTTCATTACCATATTGGCGTTTTCAACAGAGATGCTTCTAGGTATACTGCTAACAAGAGATATTAAGAAAGTGGTTCCCGCGTTTGAAGGAAACCCAATTCGTCGAAAAGTTTCAGAATGGCTGGGGCTCGATTGAGATAATATCTTTGAAAAGAAGACAAAAGAACCCAGTCACTTAATACTACAAAAATCGTGACCGATAGCGATCACGGACGGATGAGGTAAACCAGGCATGATTACCATACCTGGCACGCCTTTTCCGCCTTCAAAGGGTTGTTCAAGACTCTTACCGCTTCTGTATAGATACTCCATCTACTCCTTTTAGGCATAATAGACTACTGGAACTGGATCGCAGGCATAAGCACTTGAACATGATGGAAAAGATTTTGTCGAAACCGAACATGGAAGGACACTCCTCCGGGACAAGAGAGACTGTATAGGCCTACCCTTATTCTGACAATTGAGACTGCTACAACCTAGAAAGTACTCCTCCTCAACTCGATTTCAGGAACTCCCTCTTTCCGGTAGAAGGTATTCTATTACGACTGGCCTGACTCTGAAGGGGCTTAACCCAGGCGTGCTTTTTCTTTCCTATTTCAACTGGATCCACGGCTGGAAACTCAAATGAAAAAAAAAAAGCGAAGGAAGAGAAGGAATCCAAGATCGCTGGCAGAAAAGAAAGAAATTGCCATTCTAATCCACACATACCCCCCCTCCATATTCAACCTACCCCTAGGGTAGAACTAGTCTCAGGAACCGTTATCCACGTTAGCTCATCATTCCTATTACTCTGAATAAGGCCCTTAGCCCTTGAAGATCTTGACAGCGGGAGATCGCGAAAGACCTATATCTCGGACCACCATCGAGGGGAACTTGAAGCTGAAAAGGAATTCACATAGCATAGAAAGATCTCGAAGTAAACTGCCGGAGATTCATTCTAAAGGGACAGGACATTGGCTTACGAGAACTCCCATGGAATCAAAGTGAGATTGCTTATTGTATTGCTTCTTTATTTGCCCGAGGATAAAGCCTACTTCATATAGGTCTATTGGAAAAAGGCATTTTCTATATAGAAAAGAAAGAATTCTTACTATTAGCCCAGATCTCCCAAATAGATCTAGTTAGACCTCCCAGGCCCCCATAGGTTAGGCTATGATTCAGCAGTAGGCTATCACTGGCACGACATCGAAAGTTTCTTCAGCACTGCACCGGCCGGATCGGATTCTACTGAATGGCTGCACATGAATAGGCTCTTTCTTGCGGGAATAAGCGCTCTTTTTGGAGATAGAAACCCTGGAGGGGAATCCTCAATCTAAATATTCGTGAATGTACGAGGAGGATTCAGCCTTATCAAGCAAGATAGACAAGAAGAAAAAGAAGACATCATACTCAATACGGATCATATTTGAATATTCTCTTCGTCATATTTGAAGAGCCTCTTTTTTCTTCTTCTTCGAGTACCTCAGATTCAAGAATCTTGAGATGCTTAACACATCGAACAATCAGACCTGAAAGTCCAGGCTTGACTCACTCTCCTCTCCTTTTCTCTTTTCTGGACAGGTTTTTGGATCTCAATCGCGATATTCTGTACGTCCTCAGTCTGATTTTGGTTGTCGTATCATGGATCTTGATTCGTTCTTTATTGAATTCTCAGAAAACTATCGATAGGGTTTGGACCATTTCGATTTTGATTGGTATTGTTTTGCCATGGTCCGGCCCTCTCACCATAGCTGAATGCGCGGGCTTCGAGGCCGCTGGAACGCCGTCCTCCTCTCTACCCTCAATCTCAAGATGGGGGCTTGGGCTTCCTGGATTATTGAATCCGCTTATGGCGGAGAAGACCCGGGAGAGGCGTCATCCTCGGCCCTTTGTCAAAACGAAGAACACTCTTTTCGTCATCCCACCCCGGGCAGCCGGGTCCCGAGAGCGCGGGGCTTGCTGAGCCGGGGCCTTCCCAAGTAGCCTCGAAGGGCGGGCCCCCATCCAACTGGCGCTGGGTCCGCGGGGAACACTTCTCCAACGCCTTCAGAAGTCAAGTCAAAGCTCGGGCATTTTCTATCTTCCTTTGGGAATAAGAGGGGCCGCTTGGATTTTCAAAACAGAATTGCATACCAGCTGAACCTGTCCAATGCTTCTCGTCAGAAGCTGGAATCTCTTTTTTTCTTGTGAATGGAAAACCTGATCGGGGACCCGGAGGTAAACTCTGGTCAGAACGCCGGAGCCAAATTGACGATGCTCTACGAGCAGTGGGAAAGTGAAAACGGATGTGAAAATTTCTTTGGCGTTG